CGGAGCGAGTGGGGAGGGGGTGTCGCGCGCGGGGCATGCTGGGAACGCACAAGCGAGAGCGTAGTGACAGGAACCCCGCCTGGGGGTCGCAAAGGATTCAGGCGCGGGGCATGCTGGGAAACCCCTAGTTTCCTCTAAGCCTGAGCTGCCAAGGTTTCCCAAGCCCTTGGAAGTCTCGGGGAGGGGCCGCGCATGGATCCCGACCACCTCACGTTAACCCCTGACCCCCGGCCTCTGCTCACGGCCTTGCATCGTCACCGATGGTCCTGACCGCGGACAATCCGCAGATCCGGGGCATAGACGGTGCAGTCGATGAATATCCGGGGTCGCCAGGCAGTTCCGCGCGGCCCCTGCACCCACGGCCTGTGCAGCTCCGCGGTCCCCCGTTCCCGCACTTTTTATCTCCCTCCGCACCCCTCTCCCCACATGGCCCATCCTGCCCTGCGTGACCGTGGAGCTCCGGGAGCCGCAGGGGGAGGGGAGCTGCGGGGAGGGCAGGGGGTTGGGTATTTGGGACTCCGACCACATGACCACGTCTCCCTTTCCCTTGGGTATTGGGGCCTCCGACCACATGACCACGTCTCCCTTTCCCCCTCCCCCATGCACATGAGACTTGGAGTACCCGGATTTCTCTGCTTTCCCGCGACAGGACTGATCCCAGGGGGTTTTCTCCACCAGAGGCCAGACAAACCTGCTAGGCCCGAACACGTCACCCCGAGAGGCCATGCCCCCTCCCGATTCATCTAGTCAGGCCCCAGGCAGAGGATTGTGATCCCAGCATCCAAAGGCTGCCACAGGGGAATGACTACGAGTTCAGCCTGGAGGTCCTGAGGGGTGACTGACAGCAGGGTTCTGGGCTTGTCCTGAGAGATGACTGACAGGAGGGCTGTCACGTGTCCTGAGGGATGATGGACACAAGGGAGGGCTTTGGGCTTGTTCTGAGGAATGACTGAAAGGAGCGCTGTGGGCGTGTCTTGCAGGATTACTGACAGGAGGACTGTGGGCATGTCCTGAGGGATAACTGACAGGGGAAGACTAAGTCCACCGTAAGGATCTCACCTCACATTTTAATTTAGTTATTTACACAATAAAGAGATGTTAGTTATAATCAACACAGTATTATAATTTATATGTTAATCATTTTGTAATAATATGACTCATTAATTATCATTTCCGTTTAGATTTAGCTCCCAGAGCCTTGACTTCCCGTCACCTGACCCCGATGATCACAACTAATAATGGTGCCAGGATGGCAGAAACTCAGTGTCATGCTCTCACTCATTTTATAAACAATTACTGGCTCCTGACTTCTGCTTCTGGTTCCATTTCCAGTTTCGGCTGCCATCCTTGGAGGAGGATTGATGGGCCCCCAGGGAGAAGCCCTGCTGAGAATGAGTTATCTTTTTATTCGTTTATTTCAATGACATCTTTATTTTAAATTATTTATTTAAAATATTAATGAATTTTTAAAAATATGTGAAAGTTGATTTTTTAAAATATTCATTTCAAATATTTATTTAAAATTCATGTTTAGAAACGTGTTCCAAAACACAGGATCATCTACAAGTACGGAATTTAAATATTAATGTTAATTTATTTTAAAATATTCAATTATTATTTGAAACATTTACCTATTTTCATATTTTATCTTAAAATCCTGATTTATTAAATATTTATTTTACAATTCTGGTTTATTCATTTCCCAGGGTCTGTGCCCACACCCCATCATGCCATTCAGTGGCACTCGGTTCCCAGCATATATAGTGGTCTGCACAACCCCCTGAAATTCCACTTCCAGTTTCCCAACTTCCCCTTTGAGTGTGTTCATAGCCTCAGTCCAAAATGAAGAATCAAATGAATCTTCAAAATAATGATTAAAATTGAAAACAAATATTTCTGTCATCCTCACCTACAAGGCCAGGGAAGGCTGATGGGAAATAGGCTGTAGTTAACCTTTGACCTTCCTGGGTGATACTGTGTCCACAGCATTTGATACTCAATGGCATCAGAAGCCATGGAAATGTGACTTAATAAGCTATGAAAATCGAATAAATATGTCAATCAATACAATGCTATATCTATCGTTGAAAATATAGAAAGTTTGTGAGGAAAATATAGAAAACAATGTATAATAGAACCTTAAATTATTACATGAAACGATATGTGAATAGAATAATGAAAATAATCTAAGAAGTAACATGAAAATTACAAATTTGTGCAGAAAATGACTGATATAATATATAAAATATAAAAAAGCTTGCACAGAGAAATAATACATGAACTATAAAAAAGGAATAAAAGATCTTGAAATTATATGTAAAAATAAGAAATCCCATAATGCATAGAATGAATAAAAAAGTCATTGAAATAACAAAAACTATGAATCTACATTAAATAATATAGAGTAATAAAACAAAAACATGTACAGTAAAACAACCTATGAAATGTATCAAATATGAATTAAATAAAATACAAAATGAATTAAAGAAAATGTAAAATACTGTACCAGACATATAAAATTCACATCTCAAAAACACCAGAAAATAATAATGAACATATGAAGCATTACATAAAGTGATGCATGAAATAATAATATGAAAAATAACTTTCAAAAATGACCTATAATATGTAAAAACCACGTGGAAAAATAGTATTTTCAATGCTGAGTAAAATAAAATGTGAAGATTTTAAGAAAAATAGCCCATTCATTGATATACAAAATATAAAATAAAATAGAAGAATGAAATATTATATAAAATAGTGTTGTGCCCAGACTCTGAGCCCCCCAAACCACCAAGAGACCAGATCTGATGCAAAAGCAGAGTCTTTTTAATTTACAGGTTAACCTGGGTCCTCAGTCAGTCCATCTGACACAGCAGGTGGAGTAGGAGAAACATGAGCAGCAGTGGGGCAGGGCATATATTGGGGGTAGAGCAAGGGGGGCGCCTGGGGGTCTGCTAATTGCATAGTAACAGTCTCAGGACTGGTGCAGCTCTGGGCTGGGAAACCTGTCCTAAGTTGATGGGTCAGCTGTAGCTGCAGAAAGGTTGCTGTACCTAGAGATCCTCCCAGGGCCATTGCTACCTATTACATTCCATTATTATCAGTAAAGCACATCCAAAGCCTGCCAACTAACTTCTGATTGGTTCCTTACCACATGGAGGGTATCTGGCAGTTTCTTCCCAGTAATTAGGGCAAGTTCCAGAGGGGGTGGGGAGGAGGTGTGTGTGTGGGGTGGTCAGATGTCAGCACATCCTCCTGAGTCAGGGGCCTACATCTTACTGCAGTCTGTCATGGCTGCCAAACCAGGGGTCTGGGTCCTTCAATAGAATCAGGCATAAAGCCTATGACAATATTCCACAAAAATAAATATAAGAATAAAATACAGATTCTCAGAAAGTAATTACAAAAATAAAATAAAAACAAACATCCTCTAACAGGCAGCCAGCCACTTGACTTCCCTGCTGCTTCAGCCTGGGGCAAGAAAACAGTTCTATCCTGGCCTCAATGTGTATCTCCTCCTCCTCCTCCTCCTCCTTCTTCCCCACCCTCCCTCTTTTTGTCTTTTTTCTTTCATTTGTGTCACGAATTCCTTGTGCAGGTTCCTACTGATTCCAGATTCTGACAGCAGTTCAGGTTGCATTGGCCCCAGGCTGCTCCAGATGGTTCCTTGGGCAGGGGAGGGAGCGGAGCCACTTTCTATTTCATCTGTGGGGTCAAAGTTTGAAGAGGCTCATCTAACTCAGCATTGCAATATAAATAAAAATATAGTTATTGCTTTGACCTGACTGCTTATGATTGATCTCGGTCACTAGAGACTTCGAGGGCTCATTTACATATATGTTAATTTCATTGTTGATTATGTGTGTATTTAAATAGGAATTGAAACGTAGTTGGATGATTGACATGTAGAATGATGATTGGCAGATTGATGATTGACACTTAGGGGACCTGCCTTTCAATCACTCCCATGATCCCAGAGGTCACAGTGTTAGAGGTCACAGGGCAGCGCTCCACAGCCTAGTCAGAAGGAGCTCCTGTCAATCATTCCCCCCTGTCCTCCTCCCCACCCCTCCTCATCCACCCGCTGTGCCCTTCCTATTTCCTGGCTCTGAGCATTTCTGGCTGCAGACTGGCTGCAGACTGGTTGCAGACTGGTTGCAGACTGGTTTTATCTGGTTATTTGCAGCTGTGGGGAGGGAGCACCATTAGCTGCTATTGCTGCAAACAGTCATTAGGGTCAGGGGAGGGGTGGGGTAAAACCTGAAACTGGAAGTGGTGGTTACTGCAGAGAGGCTAAGGAGGGCCATGCCAGTCTCTCCCAGGCTGGCACCTAGGCAGGGAACACCAGAGTTATCTGTGGGGTTCCAGGGGTCAGAGGTCACAGAGAGGGTCAAGGAGGAAACCCCCAAATCAAGCCATAGATATAATATCATAGCCATGAATCACAGATTGCTTCCTGGTATTATCAACTAGTGAACTTTTCTAGCAGTTAAAAGAGACAATGTGATTTGTAGTTGTAGCTTTCCAATTGTGTGAATTCAAGTTTTAAAAGTGTTGAAGAAAAAAAAAGGAAATCTTACTATCTTGTGCAATAAATCGAAGGTTAGGACTTTTCTTTGTAGAGGTTGTGCCATTTCTGTTGCCTTTTTTCATAAATAGGTATCAACAAAGTTAAAAATTGGAAGACACTTGGAATTTGTTTTCTTCTCTCTTGCTATTTTTCTACATCTTATATTCTCTTTTATTTTAAGTTTTGTATTTTGTAGTGCTGGGGATCAATCAAGCCAAAGATTAGGCAAGTGTTCCACCACTGAGCTAACTCCCCAACCTTTTTTGCTTGTAATTTCGGAGAAATTATACTACAAAAAGCTGGGGCTCCATGTACTTTCTTCAATGGTGTCATATACTACTTTGGGTAGGATTGATTTGGGGTCTGAATATTTAGCCATCTTTACAGTCAGAGTATAAAGTGTATGAACAAGCAAAGAAGAACATATTCCTTGCACCCATGAGCAGCCTCCCAAACTCACACTGCACATGTCACTGCCTTCCTTCATCAGGAATATTAAGCTTAATATTGATAATCTCCAACTTCTTTTTTTGTTTGTTTTAAGTATTTTTTATTTGCATTAGAAACAAGGTTGTTTTACATGTCAATCCCAGTTCCCTCTCCCTCCACTCCTCCCCTACCACCCCCCAACTAAAACCCTACCTATCACATATCCTTTCTGCTCCCCCTGGATGGTGAGGCCTTCCATAGGGGTCATCAGAGTCTATTGTATCCTTTGGGATAGGGCCTAGGCCACCCCGTGTGTCTTGGCTCAGGGAGTAGTCCTCTATATGGAATGGGCTCCCAAAGTCCACACCTATGCTAGGGATAAGTACTGAACTACTACAGGAGGTCCTGTAGATTTTCGAGGTTTCCTCACTGAAACCCATGTTCCTGGGGTCTGGATCAGTCCCATGCTGGTTTCCCAGCTATCAGTCTGGGGACCAAGAGTTCCCCGTTGTTCAGATCAGCTGTTTCTGTGGGTTTCACCAGCCTGGTCTGCACCCCTTTGCTCTTCACTCGTCCTTCTCTGCAACTGGATTCCAGTTCAGTTCAGTGCTTAGTTGTGGGTGTCTGCTTCTACCTTCCACCAGCTGCTGGATGAGGGCTATAGGATGGCATGTAAGTCAGATATCAATCTCATTATCAGGGGAGTGCATTTAAGGTAGCCTCTCCTCTGTTGCTTAGATTGTTAGCTGGTGTCATCTTTGTAGATCTCCCTAGTGCCTGATTTCTCTGTAAACCTAAAATGTCTCCCTCTATTATGGTAATAGCCATATACCATATTTGTAATAGCCAGAACCTGGA